AGCTCCCCACCGCCCCCTAGCGGGTAGGCGGACCGACACCGATCACAGGCTCCTAAATCCCATCTGCCCCAGCTCGGAGCAGCCGCATCTCTCATAACACGCCAGCACCCCTTTGCTCATGAAATAACCTCCTGGCGCTCACAGAATGGTAGGACTGGAAGGGACCTGGAGAGGTCATCCAGTCCAGTGCCCTGCACTCGTCTTATCTAGACCATCTGTGACGCATGGCCAGAAAGGGTTAAACATTCTGCAAAATAAACGACCCTCAAAAGACATGTGGGGAGATAATGTTTGTGTTTTTGTGTATTTACATACGTATGAGTAGGGCAGACAATGTAATCAACAGTCCCTGTCTATGCTGCATTCTCATAATTCAGAGGTCAAAAGAGCATCCTATCATGTAAATGAATTGTAAACATGGGATATCGCTGTATTCATCTCTCTTTGAAATGTATAGCAAATACTCTATGAATGGTGGAGGAACAAGCAAAGTGCCTTACGTTAATTCTATAGCTAAATACCAGTGATGGACCTCCTCCATAGTCATCCTAATTACCTTTTGAACTCCCAACTTGTCAAAAGACATGAAAGTGTATAAAAGATCCTTAGGTCCTGATTCTGTCATCTCAGATCTGCTTAAGCTTCATCAGGGGAAGTTTGAGTTGCAAGACTGAGGTCCCAGTTATGCTGGTACGCCCTGAATATGAGATTTGGACATTGGACTATAACCTATGAACTATTTCTGAAAGAACTCCTTGCAACGACACAGCTCACCATCTCTGCTATGAATCTGCACCTCACTGAATTGAACTCACGTCTGTATGTATATTGATCTTTTAACCATACTCCCGATCTTTTGTTTTTTAATAACTTCTAGTTTAGTTAATAAGAATTGGCTGTAGCGTGTGTTTAGGTAAGATCTGGAATATTCAATAACCGGGGAGGTAATGTGTCCGATCCTTTGGGGTTGGTAGAACCTTTTCTTTTATATGAGGAAATAAGATTTACAGAAATTTTCATCATATTTGATGTGGGTACCTGGATGGAGGCTGGATCATTTTAAGGGAACTGTGTTGTTTGGACTTCTGAGTAACCAGTAAGGTAATAAAGAAGCTGTTTTGTGCTGGTTAGTAAAGCTTCGGAATATCCACCAGCTTTATGGGGATTGTCTGCCCCATTCTTTGCAGTTCACCCTAACTGAGTGACCAAAGCTGGCTCCCCACGAGGACCCCGGTCACACCATCCCTGACAGGTGTTTATCTAACCTGCTCTTAAAAATCTCTAATGAGGGAGATTCCACAACCTTTCCGGGCAATTTATTCCAGTGCTTAATCCCCCCTGACAGTTAGGAAGTTTTTCCTAATGTCCAACCTAAACCGCCCTGGCTGCAGTTTAAGCCCATTGCTTCTTGTCCTATCCTCAGAGGACAAGGAGAACAATTTTTCTCCCTCTTCCTTGTAATCACCTTTTATGTATTCATGCTTGGCCTGAGCAGATCTGACGGGGCACATCGTGCCCCATGGTCTGCCATCACCCACCGAGTGTGAAGAGATGCTCTGGGGGTGCCCAGCCTGGGGTGACTGGCGAGCAGCCGAGCTGATACAGAACAGAAATGACTGCACCCAGCAGAGGGCAAGGGGAGCACGATCCGAGCTGGGACACTGCCCGCTGCTCAGAGCAGGTCTATCACACGCGGTGCATCCTGGCATTGGCAACAAGGGCGTCTGCCTCAGGGTTCCACTGGCCACAAGCTGCCCTTTGCCCTGCTGCATGGATTCCCGCCCGTCCCTGATGAACACCAGGCGGGGCCTTCGCATGGGGTGAGGCTGATCTTTAATAACAGAGGACAAGCAGATCAGGTTTCCAGGCACATGAGCCGGCTCTTTACAGGCAGCTTGGAGGAGTCTGCCCTCCCTGTGTCCCTCCCCCCCCCCCCCACGTCCGCATGCAGGCACAGGGTTCAGCACAGCGCGCTGGGTCCATGGA